ATCCATACTGAAGGCTGTGGTCTTTGATCTTCATCAGTAAGTGCTTCAAGTCCTCTTCACTTTCAGCAAGCAAGGCTGTGTCATCTGCATAACGCAGACTGTTAATGAGTCTTCCTCCAATCCGGATGCCCCATTCTTCTTCATAAAGTCCAGCTTCTCAGATTTGCTCAGCATACAGACTGAATAGGCATGGTGAAAGGATGCAACCCTGACGCACACCTTTCTTGACTTTAAACCACAGAGTATCCCCTTGTTCTGTTCGAACAACTGCCTCTTCATCTATGTCCGGATTCCTCATGAGCACAATGAAGTGTTCTGGAATTGCCTTTCTTCACAATGTTATCTATAATTTGTTATGACCCACCCAGTCAAATGCCTTTACATAGTCAATGAAACACAGGTAAACATCTTCCTGGTATTCTCTGCTTTCAGCCAGGATCTATGTGACATCAGCAATGATATCCCTGGTTCCACGTCCTCTTCTGAAACTGGCCTGAATTTCTGGAGTTCCCTGTCGATAAACTGCTACAGCCACTTTTGAATGATCTTCAGCGAAATTTTACTTGCATGTGATATTAATGATATTGTTCGATAATTTCCGCATTCGGTTGGATCACCTTTCTTGGGAACAGGCATGATCAGAGACCACAGCCTTCAGTGTGGATTACACCTCAACATAAAGAAAACAAAAATTCTCACAACCGGACCAATAAACAACATCATGATAAATGGAGAAAATATTGAAGTTGTCAAGGATTTCATTTTACTTGGATCCACAAATCAAAGCCCATGGAAGCAGCAGTCAGAAAATCAAATGAGGCATTGCAATGAGCAAATCTGCTGCAAAAGACATCTTTAAAGTGTTAAAAAGCAAATATGTCACTTTAAGGACTAAGGTGCACCTGACCCAAGCCTTGGTGTTTTCAGTCGCCTCATACGCATGCGAAAGCTGGACAATGAATAAGGAAGACCAAAGAATTGATGCTTTTGGCATGTGAGCGGCCATCTAAGATACTCCACTTGTCTCACCCCTTCAGGAGCAAGGGAGAATGAAGAAAACTAAAGACACAAGGGAAATATTAGTCCAAAGAATTAATGGACCACAATGACCACAGCCTGAGTCCAGTACAACTAAATGGTACC